TCCAGATAGGTGGTCTGGGAGGACACCAGGATTGACGGTATCAAAAGCCTCTAAGAAGTCCAGGAGAATACACAGAGTCATACTCCCACTGTCCATCTCCCGTCGCAAGTTATCCACCAGGGTGACCAAGACTATTCCAGTCCAATAATCAATCCTAAACCCAAATTGGAAGGGGTCCAAACAAATTGCTTCATCCAGGAAAGCTTGGAATTGTCCACCCATTATCTGTTCAATCACCTCACTCAAGAATGGAACATTTGAGCCTGCTTGATAATTTTTGAGATCCCCTGGGTCAAGGATAGGCTTCTTTAGAAGTGGATGTACTACAGCCCTCTCTTAAGGAAGCATTAACTGCCTTTTGAACCCAGTCTGCCTTCCCCCCCACAGGAGTTTTAAGTAACCAGGAGGGGCAAGGGTCATACAAGCAGATGATTGGCCTCAAACTTCCAAGGATCTTGTCCACATCCTCAGACTGAATAAACTGAAAAGCATCTCAATCAGTTGGACAAAGTGGAACCATGGCACCATCTAATCCTATCACTACTAACATAAGAGACCAAGTCAGAACAGATGCAAGATATTTTATCTGCAAAGTACTGGGCAAAATGGTTGCAGTGGGCCACTAACCAGTCTACCTCCATCTGTGGGCCAGATCCCAACAGGCCTCTGACCACCCGAAACAGCTCTGCTGGCCTACACGGTGCAGACACAATTGTGGCAGAAAAGTGGTGTTTCTTTGCCATCGTCACTGCCATGAAGTACGCTTTAAAATTAGCTTTTGCCTGTGCCCTATCAGGTTTGGCCCAAGTCTTCCTCCACTGTTGTTCTAGCCATCTCCATTGTCTTTTCATCGCCCACAGCCACTTAGTAAACCAAGGGGTATGATACTTGGGCTCCAGCACCTGATGCTAGGGCGTGATCGGGTCAACTGCCCATGTCATTTCCTCATTACAGAGGCCAACCAGGACATTGACAGGAGCACTAATCATATCAACAGGAAAATCCCCTAGAGCCATCAGAAAGCCATTCAGATCCAGGGTCCCCTATATTTCTTAAGACATTCCTCCGTAGCAGCCACTCTACAAAACAGTACCTGTATCCAATGTGGTGGAATGATCCAGTAAGACAGGAGGCCTATTTGTATCTCACCCAAAACAAATAGACTTTTTAAATATCACTGCCTTGCTGGACTGTGAAGAGTGTGTGGCAGGACAAGGGACAGAGCTATGGTCCTAAGAAAAGTGCCCTATGCTGGACTGTGGAGTGTACACTGTGGCCAAGGGGAGCCTTGTACCTAACAAGTATGCCAAGCTAGGTGTGGACCTGGGACTACAGAAGGTTTCTGCCTCTGAACTTCTGCATCCACACCAGGCACCGGGATGCAGACCAACAGCTCTGGCCCCCATGCAAGCAGAGACAGCAGCAGACCAGAGACAGAAGCCATGCTCTGACAAAGGACAGATGTTCTTGAACAGAAGCTATGAGAGATTCTCTTCTTCATCACGCAGCATCCCAGCCTCCTTGTGTGTTAGCTTCACCTGGAAAACAACACATTTATCTTCCTCCTGAGTCAACCTAAGAAAAAAAATGTGCCCAGCCAAGGACAAAAGGAGTCATTCAGCCTTTCTGCCACCCATCTACACTAAGCATCGGATTACTAAGGTGAAGCACCAGACCTACAGTGTGATTGGATCTCTTCACCCTTTTCTTTGTCTTACCCTCTTCCCCCAGAAATGTCACTCCCCGATGACCATTAAATTTCAGTCGCCCAACTATTAATCCCTTCATGCCCCATCCAGAGTTTAAGGGTTTTTAAAAAGTATTTCCTGGGAACCGGGTGACCACATGGCCACAGTGTCTGGTCACATTTTAGGTATTTAAGGAGAGCTCTCTTGGTCTCTTCTGTCTTGCCCTCTTGCCTCTTCCTCTCCTAACCCTGTCCTACCTTGTTAGTTCCAAATCTAGGCCTGTTTGGATTCCGTTCACATGTGTTGCTGGTCAACTCACGATCTCCTCCCTCTCATTGTGTTCCATTTTTTCACTGCATGATCTACGTGTCTTGCAAGACAGATAAAGTATCACCCACCAATGATATTTCCTGCTCATGCAAACGTCGCTATCCTTTTCAGCTCTGTATTCCTAGCTCTGTAGTGTGGGTGTGAATGCTTGGTCATTGTTTGTATGTTTGAGAACATTTAGTAAAGCAATCAATTATTTCAACAACACAGTCTCTGTGTCTATTCATGGGCTCTGAGAATTCTGACTCCTGTATACACAGGTTAAAGGTAAAGGTTCCCTTGCTCGAAAGCCAGTTGAATCTGACTCTAGGGTTGCGGTGCTCATCTCCGTTTCAAAGCTGAAGAGCCAGCACTGTCCGAAGACGTTTCCGTGGTCATGTGGCCGGCATGACTAAACACCAAGGCGCACGGAACGCTGTTACCTTCCCACTGAAGTGGTACCTATTTATCTACTTGCAATTTCTTGCTTTCGAACTGCTAGGTTGGCAAGAGCTAGAACTAGAGACGGGAGCTCACTCCGTCATGCGGCACTCGGGTCTCGAACTGCTGAACTACCGACCTTCCACAATTTTTGCCTATTGCTTTTTAATATTCCATGTTAATTAACAAAATAAGGCAATTTGGCTAACACTATCCCATTGGCTGTCACCAGCCAGTTTTGTACCAGCTCTGTGTAATCTCTATGGATTTTAAGAATTCCCCTTTAAAACTACCTAAGGCTCACACTACATATTACTTGGAGTTTTGTGGGTTTTCCTCTGATTTTTTAAATTGCAAGGTGAATCTAGGTAGGCTGTGTCTCAGGAGAAGATGAGCTGGCAAGAAGAAGAAGAAGAGATTGGATTTATACCCCGCCCTTCACTTGGAGTCTCAGAGTGCCTTACAAACTCCTTTCCCTTCCCCTCCCCACAACAGACACCCTGTGAGGTGGGTGGGGCTGAGAGAACTCTGACACAAACTGCTCTTTTTGAAGGACAGCTGTGCCAGAGCTTGTGACTGACCCAAGGTCACATCAGCAGGTGCAAGTGGAGGAGTGGGGAATCAAACCCGGTTCTCCCAGATTAAAGTCCGCACACTTAACCACTACACCAAACTACACCAAACTTCTTAACTCCTTCCCTTCTAATTTTTACCACCTCAAAACCACTCTTACCAAACTGCTTCATTTATTGTAGGTAACTCACCAAACTGCTTCATTTATTGTAGGTAACTTGTGCACTGCCTGCTGGGCCCACTTAAACTTTCCAAGGGAACTAATTTTTTATTTTTTTATTTTAAATTTAAATTTTTTAAAATGTAAGTTTTTTACTTGGATTTCACTGTGTCATAAAAGCATTCATAAGATACAATAAAAGACCAGATGCCATCCAGTATTCAGTCAGTCAGGTCAAAGGCTTTTGGGAAAATAAGTGTCCTGAGTATTTTTCTGGAAGGCCTGCACTGCCAGTGTCAGCTCCTAGGAGATGAAGTTCTACAGCTGGGAACACAGTCTAAAAGTTCCTACAACAGGTCTCCACCAACCTCTGCTCAGACAACAAAGGTTCCTATGGGAAGGTCTCACTCATTAATCCCAGGACCTGGACAGGTTGATTTGAGAGAAGATATCTTTAGAGGCATTGAACCCAAACCATTTAGGGCTTTTAAGTAAAAAAAAAAAAAAGCATGTTGAATTGCATGCTGAAGCAAACTGGTGCTGTAGAACTGGTATTATATGTTCATTCAACAGGATCAAGTAATAATCCTAAATGCTTTTCATAATACTTTTTGAAGCTTCCGAACCATCACATTAGCACACAGGGAAGTCATCAATTACATGCAACGCCTGCAAAAATGCTCAAGCTGTTCACAAACAGCCAAACTCCTCAACCAAAAATGGTCTGCCTGCTCACTACTAGTAAGCAGAATGTGGGCCAAACTGCATCCCTGCATTGAGGATTCCTGGTTACAGAAGCCTAATCTGGATGCTACCGAGGCATGCATAAATCTAGCTATGGGCTGGACCAGCTGCAGTTGCTGAACCAATCAAAACTGGAAAAAGGTATTCCTAGTAAGTTCTGCCACCTGCCTCCTGCCTCTGATAAACAGGCATCAAGGAGCATTTCAGAACTACCTACCAGCACCTTTGGGGGAAGTGTAACCCCTTTTTAGAATGGGCTATATACATCTATTCCAAATGGGAGCTTTCTTTCTGACTCACAACGCTTCCATTTTGTATGGATTACATTTCAATTTATTTATCCACATCCAGTCCCTCACTGTCTCCAGACACTGGTTCAGCACTTGCACTGCTTCCCTGGATCCCACCCACCCCTTTTGTGTGCATATTGTTGATACTGTCTTTCAGATCTCCGCCTCTTCCCACTAGTAAGAGGAAGAGATATGAAGAAGTTACAGGTATCCTTGAATTTTTCCTCCACAGGTGAAAAGCAGCTTGAGAAATCTGATTCTGAGCATTCCACTGCCTGTCTCGATTGCTTAAACTGGTAGCCACCACATTTTAGAGAGGGCCCACTAGATGGAGCCAATGCAAAATAATAGTGTTAGGAATGCTACGTGAAAACGTATGGATCTAGTAACAGTTGCTCTAGCCAAATATAAGATAGCAGTCTAGGCTAGGGAGAAGAGAATTTTCCCATTCTTGAGTCTCAGTCACAACACAACTTGCCATTTTGCCTTAGATAATTCACTTTTTAGCTCATTTTCCCTGGCTGGAAATAGGGGATAAATTCAGCAGTATTGGCAGAATGTTTAGAAAATGAATTTGTATATCATGGAAGCACCAGACTGTATTACTCTAAAGAACTGTAGGCCATTGTAACACTGCTTTTACCAAAGCAACTGCCAAATATTGGAAATAGTGATCAACTGTGGAAGGGATGAAATCAATGATTTATTTAGCAGCATGCTCAGTGAAATTAGAGATGCAGGCTCTGAATGTGAGCCTGTGAAAATTTTTCCACAACTACTGCTTTGTCATAGACTTCATTCAGTTTCTTCCCTTATAAGTTCAGCCAGCCTCTGGAACCCCTAAATAAAAGAACAAGTAAACATTTTTAAATATAAAAAAAGAAGTGTCGTAGGTCATCTTGAGAAGAGAAGAATGAACTAATAATGCATGCACGCAGCCTTGTCACTTTGTTCGTTCAGCTTCTTGCCCGTGAAGATAAATAAAGCCTATTAATTTTAAAGAAATACAGAGAAGACAGGTCTGTGTTGCTTGGGGGTGACCAACTAATTTAAATGAACAATTGTAACTAAAAAATACATTCTGCTGGTGGTGCTATCAGCTAATTAAACATTCTTTTTAAAGGATTAACTCTTTTGATAGTAAAGGAATACAAAGAAGCCACTATGTATTGCAACGTTTTGCTTATTACAAATTTATCCAGTAGAGTAAATATTTGGAGGCTTTTTAATTAAGTTTCTTTTGATGGAAAAACATAGCCAAAACATTTATTGTTTTGAAGTACTCTGTGAATGCAGTACCTCAAGCATGCAATGTCCTCATACTGTTAACTACAGTACTGTAGCCACAGAAACCATTCCGACACAAGTGTCCCTTGAGGTTGGGCAAATTTTTAAAGATCACTACCACCCTAGGAAAAGAGGGAACGTGGTGTTCATTAAAAGCAGATTAAAATGTCTGGACTTCAAAATATTAGTTTTTACTCGACATTCAGAGGCAGTAAATCTCTGAAATCCAGAGCTAAACGATAACACCAAGGGAGGGCCTTGGTCTCTATGCTTTTTGGCCCTCTAGAGCAACTGATCGGCCACTATGTGAAACACGATGCCAGATTAGATGGACCACTGGTGTGATCTAGCAAGGTTCAGTTTATCTATAGTAACAGCCACATATGTGGACCACTAAATCTGCAGATCAGGCACACTTACACTGAAGTACGACTTTCCTGCAAACTCTGGGGATTCCCCATGGTTGCTGAAAAATCTCAAAGTTAAAAAAAAAGGCTGGAGGGTACTTCAAACCTTTAAAATTGCAGCGCTGCTAAGGGGTGGGGGGACGGGGCAGAGGAATTATCATCTCTCCTAACAGCAGCTGGTGGGAAAAGATGGCTGGGCTGGAAGGAACCTTGGGTGCTGGTATAAAATATTAGTATAGAAGACACAAATTCTTATTTTGCTACAATCAGAAAGCAGACTATGATTTATATCCCCCCCCTTGCCATGTGTACAGTGTTTGCTTATTCCTTGTAACAGGTTTTCACTCACAAACATAAGAAAGGAGCAATTCGCACTTAAATGGGAATCTTCAGCCTAATGGACCAGATAAATATTTAGATATTTCCAATGGGGCTTATTTACCTGGGCTAATGATTTTTGGTAAAATAATTTAAGTAATCACTTAACGCTAATGCAAAAGAAGCCACTGAAAGACCTGTAGTCAGTCTGCATCTTCTTGTACAACACTGCAGAAATCTCTCCAGCAGAGGATTACAATGGCTAATATTCAGGTATGATGGTCTTGTTGAACTGAGAAATTTCCTCCCAATGAAAACTAGTCCCTCTGGGTTGCATTAACTACATTGCTCAAAGAGAGTGAATCTAAACAACTCATCACGTGAGCAGAATGCTTGGAACAGGGGATTCTGGGACACCAAATTCTGTAGTTTGTGTAATATCAACAGTACAATTCTGGTAACTTTCTATAATACCCATAGAACTATTTCTGTGATCAGGCATCCCCAATCTAGCTGGAGGCCAAAGATGCACTAGTCCATGGTTGGATGGAGAATTATATGTGCAAAATTATATGTGTAAACCAATGCTACCTCATCTTCACCCAGCAGCTGGATTTACTGCCCCCTGCCAAATATGACAAAGCTATACCCATGCTGCCCCAGAAGGAAATATGCATAGCTGAATTAAAGTCAGTTATTGTTTTTTTCCCGAAAAGCAATCAAGCAGGCAAAGTGACTTGTTGTAGCTAGGGTTACCAACCTCCAGGTGGGTCCTGGAGTTCTCATAGAATTACAATTCATCTCCAAACTACAAAAATCAGTTTCCCTGGAGAAAATGGCAGCTTCAGAGGAGAAACTGAAGTTGCTCCCCAGGAACAGCTGTCAAATCTCCAGGAATTCCCCAAGCCAGAGATGGCAGCCCTCTGTCATTTCATTAGTCACTTTCCTTAGGACTGTACTAAAGCTATTTATGATCTGGCACCAATAGTACTATTTTATCCCCATACAATGGAAAGGGGCAAACCCTATTTTTCCAAGGGATGGCCTAGCCCTGTTTGCCAAGTCTTCTTTAAAAAAGAAACGGGAGATGTGTGCTGCAGTTCAGGAGAAAGAAGACACACAATCTTCACAGAGTTAAATAGAAAATAGGAATAAAATGCAATAACATAAGGTTTATAAAAGCCTTATGGAAGGAGTGAGTGTTTTTGTGGTTGCTAGATGGTTAAATTATTTATTTATTTCCTTTAATTTATATCCCACTCTCTCTGTGAGAGGGCTCAGGGTGGGTTACAAGGTCACATAAAAGTTGTGACAATAACAGTATCAAATTCAAACAACATATAAAAATTCAGAGGTTAAAATTTAATACCAGAAGATCAGAGAACCAGAGTGAATGTAGCCTCGGTAGTGACACTCGGATGGAGCCTTCTAGGTGTTGTTGTTGGACGTCAAGCCACTGACAACAAGACCAGGGCTGTCTGCAGGGGAGGCCAAGAAATGGAAAATTTGGACAACCGCTGCCTGAACTGAAAGCCTGGCAGAACAGCTTTGTTTTACAGGCCCTGCATAATTCCAATAGATCCTGCAGGGACCTGAACTCAATTGGGAGCTTGTTCCACCAGGTTGGGGCCAGGGCAGAAAATGCCCTGGCCCTAATTGAGGCCAGCCAACAGACGTTGTTGATCAATTGAGCACAAAGCTCTGTGGGGCACATATGGGGAGAGATGGTCTCTGAGATATGCAGGTCCTTGGCCACACAGGGCCTTAAAAGTCAGCACAAGAACCTTGAACTGGATTTGGTACTCTATAGGCAGCCAGTGCAGTGCACCGGCCCACACACTAAATTAGTGCTCCCCGCCTGCAGTGGTACAATAAACCAGGAAGCAGACCAGGAAGTGAAAATGTCTCTGGAGCAAGCCAAGCTCAGCAGCTCCAGCTGTGATTCAAGCTAGCACTGCAGAGCCACTTAGGTCAGTGGGGCTGACAATGGGCATTAGCTCCCCCACTTATCATAAGAAGCCAATGCTGGATAAGGCCAATGGACCATCCAGTCCAACACTCTGTCACACAGTAGCCAAAAATACCAGGTGCCATCAGGAGGTCCACAAGTGGGGCCAGGACACTAGAAGCCCTCCCACTGTTGCCCCCCCCCAAGCACCAAGAATACAGAGCATCATTTGCCCCAGACCAAGAGTTCCTATCTATATCTTGTGGCTAATAACCACTGATGGACCTCTGCTCCATATGTTCTATCCAATTCCCCCTTGAAGCTGTCCATGCTTGTAGCTGCCACAACCTCCTGTGGCAGTGAATTCCATGTGTTAATCAGTCTTTGGGCGAAGAAGTACTTCCTTTTATCTGTTCTAACCCCTAATCATCCCCCAAACTGGAAGCAGTGTAGGAGGAGACAGCTGGTGAGCTGACTCACTGCCATGGCTGATGAGGGGTCTGGTCCAAGTGGCTTGGGCTGAGTTGCTGGGGCTTGGCTCTACTAGCTCCTGGCTCCCTGTAACGTAAATGGCCAGTCCACCCGACTGCAAAAAACATTAATTACTAAATATATTTTAAAAACAATAAACATCCAGTTAAATAAACAGTTCAGGAAGTAGCATGAGCACTAGAAGTGGGATGAGTTGTGTTGTTTGTGATGTCACAGAAGCTGCCCAGTAGATGCCCATGACAGTTGTACAACTGTCTTCTTCTGTCAAATAGGGCAAAATATCAAGGGCTAAGAGGGGTGGAAATTGCATTTTCCCAGGTATGGGATGTGACGAGAGAGGAGGTCCTACAACTGATGGACAAATTAAAAACTGACAAATCACCAGGCCATGATGGCATACATCCAAGAGTTCTGAAAGAACTCGAACGTGAACTTGAGGATCTCCTGACAAAAATATGCAATCTATTACTAAAATCTGCCTCCATTCTCGAAGACTGGAAGGTAGCTAATGTAGCCCCATCTTTAAAAAGGGTTTCAGAGAAGACCTGGGTAATTACAGGCCTGTCAGTTTAACATCGATACCAGGTAAGTTGATGGAATCCATTATTAAAGATAGAATTAGTAGGCACATTGCTGAACAAAATTTATTGAGGAAGTATCAGCATGAATATTGTAAGGGAAGATCTTGCCTCACTAATCTTTTAGAGTTCTTTGAGGGGTGAACAAACATGTGGACAAGGGTGATCCACTAGATGTTGTTTACCTAGGCTGATTTCCCACAAGCGCTGCTCCACGCTCACTCCTCCCTTTTGCCCCGATGGCACGTGTCAATTTCACACAAGCTGCTGCATGGCCGCATTTCACCCCGCAGCTTCGCGCGATTTCCCCCGCATCTACTCAGTCCTGTTTTTTGAGGCTTGAGTAGACACGGGGGAAATCGCGTGAAGCTCCGGGGCGAAATGTGGCCGCGCAGCAGCTTGTGTGAAATTGACACGTGGGGCTGGCTTGCCCGGGCTCCCCGCAGCCACGGGACACCCAGGCAAGCCAAGGGAAGGAAATTTAAACTGCCTTCCCTTCAAGGGAACACAGGAGGCTGTGGCCTAATATGCTAATGAGCTGCACTGTCATGGGTGTGGCCTAATATGTTAATGAGTTCCTGCTGGGCTTTTTCTACAAAAAAAGCCCTGGTAACAATTATGCAGTCATTGTGCTAAAACATGAACATCTAGAAAGGTCATTGTATAAACCTAGAAGAAAAATAAACGTGAAATCCTCTCCTAAGAATTACCAGCTTTGGGTTGGGAACTTCCTGGAGATTTTGGGGAAAGCCGGATTTGGGGAGGGGAGGGACTTCAATGGCATATAATACCATAGAGTCTACCCTCCAAAGCAGCCATTTCCCCCAGAAGGACTGATCCCTGTAGTCAAGAGACCAGTTGCGGTACCAGGAGATCTCCAGGCCCCTGTCTCTCCAGAGCTGCTGTTTGCCCTACTGAGAGACAACAAAAGACAGACTGTATATTCCCTCAAGGGATCAAATAATAGGGCTAGTGTAGGGCATTGGGGGGTCAGAGAATGACACACAGGGAAAGCATTACCCTCTCCACAAATCACATCCCTGACCCAAACTGAGGTTTCCATGGCTGCTATTTACCAATTAAAATTACTGTGAAGATCTATTCATGAACCCCCCAGTTTCTCATCTAGCTTGGCCTTAACGGTGCACTGGACTGTGGCCCCATGTTCAGACCTTAAGATCTCTTCAAATCTTTTTTCTTTATGACCACTGATGGGACAAACTATACTTGCCTGGTCCATTTGATCTGGAGAAGCAAAAGAAAAGGAAGCCCTGATGTAGGGGCTTGGTTTTGAAGAATCAATCATAAAACCTCTCCCGGGAATCAAAACCACCTAAAAATATTAAAAACATTTAGTATTAGTGTACATCAAGCTTTTAAAATAACTATCAAGCACAAATATGAGATTCTAGATTTAGTATCATCTCTATTTATCATCATAGGTTCACCTACCGAAGGGTGTGGAAGACAGGAAGTATACAGAAATAGCCATCACTGATGAGTGTAAGATAGTCAGGCATGCATATTTAACTGGGCAAGTGCAAAACCCTTATGGTAAAAGTTACTCTGTGATCTTTTTCTTTTTCTTTAGATACCTTTTGCTAATGTAAGCCATGGAGCAAACATTTTTATTATTCATTATATATTTGTGATTAAAATAAATTAGGACAGAAATGATACAGTCAAGAGCCATTCTTACAACACTCCATGCAGTTGTCTTAGGATTTCAGGCCATGAATTTTGATTTTTTTAGGTGAATTGTTACTTTTCTTGTAGAATTCTTCCAACCTAGTTTTCATTGGACGTTGATTTTATTGTCCAGTTATCACCAGCATTAAAACTCTTTTCTTTTTGAAGATACTAATAATACTACAATAGTAGAAAAGCTAGAAGTTGAGACCCACACAAATCCTTGAATTTATTTTTTGTTTACCTTACTTTGGCTTTATCATTTCTTGCAGATCACCAGTCACTTTCACCTAAGAACTGATCAATCTAGCACAATAGTGCGGCCTCCTGGCTTCTTCATACCCTCTCTCATCAACAGCACACAGACAAAATTCCAAGGGAAACTTTTGTGCATTGGGTTGAATTCAAATTACCCTTTCTTTGGAAGAAAACTCTTCTGTTGGTCCGGTCCATTAACATAAAATAACAATTTAATTAATTCTTTTTAAGTTCCCTCTCTATGAATACTGTGCCAAAAACTGCAACATGATGCCCTCAGTACCATGAACTCACTGTGGGACCAAATGCACACACCCATATGAAGGACTGTAGCCTTTCCCACAACCAAATACAGCAAACTTTTTCTTAAAAGAAAAACTCCATTTATTTCAAACCTACTAATAAAATTTCCCTACCCCTTTCTCCAGTGCTTTTTTGGTGATCATCTCGTGTGTATCAGATATCCCCTTAATTTTAATCCATAAAAATAGTCCAGCTTTAGGAGTATACCATTCTGCTAAACCTGGAAGAGAAAGCAGAACACTTGTGAAAGTACTCTAATAAGATTATTAAGCATTTGAGTTGGCAGAGGAACACTTTGGCATGGATGACTTTTCAACCAGGTGTTTAAACAGTTTCTTATTGTCAGAGTTATGGTTCTCATATTAAGCCAATTAGTAGCTGTTTGAGATAATTCTGTGTATGTAATTATTTTAGCACACCCTGTTCTGGACCACTTCACATGATGTGAGCTGCTGTTCACATAGGGGTCAAGTGGACATACCATAGCTGGGCTTATAGTTGTCACGATCCTACTGCTTCCCTGCTTGCCTAGATGATTATGTAGCACACTTCCACTGAAATTGCTGAAGGTTCTTAGCACTGGTCTTGTGAACTGCCATAGACTTTTAGCTTAATTTTTTTTAAAAATCAGATGGGTCTCTAGTGCAGCAGTACCTTTTTAAGTATTGCCTAGGGAATTAAATGGAAGAAGTTAGGATAATCTTGTAATTATTGATTAACCTAAGTTTTTAGAAAGAATATGTCCATTGTCTATCTAGGAGGAGAAATCTATTACAACTTGATCAGAATGCTAATCTAAGTGCCAGGCTTTCCTTAGACTCTCAAATGATGACCGGTACAAATAGGTGCCGTTAGGGGAATGGTACAGAGGCTGATTTAACAGAAACAAAGCTAAGGGCTAAATAAGTTGTACACGTCACTGGGTTTATCTTGACATTCCCTTCCAAGTAGTGGACAGAAGGTAAACTGGAACTCTGAAACATAGGCTGGTTAATGGAGACATCACTCCATCTCTCCCTGTTCCCCAGTCCTTGGTTCGCATGCTTTTTACACAATGTGTTGAATCTTTTAAACTCTTTCTCTCCCATCTGGGAGGGTTTCTCTTTGACCTATCCTGAAACTGGGGTTGACTTCCCACGTGTGCTACCATGTACCTTTACACAATCATAACAAAGTGCATGCCCTCAACTTTTATGGCCCTAATTCAGGACAGCCAGACAGTGATCTATCATGCCCCTTACTAGCAGGTAGGGTTGGCCAGGTCCTACCTGGCTGCTGGCAGGGGGCTCCACAGTCTGGTCTGGGATCTTCTGGTGGAAGTGACATCATCATGTCAGTGGCGTTGGGGGGGGGGACGCTCTAGTTTTTGGGCAAAACTCATTCAGGGGCATTTGCAGGCAGGGTTGCCCCCTGCTGGCCAGCTGGCTGCTGGTGGAAAGGGGCCAGCAAAAGTGGGGGAACCCCACCCTGACTGGGGGCCTGGCAACCCTACTAGCAGGTGGGCACATGGTCATCTCTATTCTGCCCATTTGTCTCCATAAAGTGAAATCTTCTCTTCTCAGTCTGAAATATGAAGAGTTCCTTACTTCATTCCCAGGAAATAGGATGACGTCTCTGGGAACCAGTATCTCTTGTGTCAGACAAGGTATTCTCCATTTACTTATCACAGCAAGCCCAGTCATCTAAATATACATGAGGCATATCTACCTCTAGGTTTCATTCACCCTGTTTCATTAATTTTTCCAGACCTAACCCATGTGGAAAATTTTCACATCTCAGCTTCTAGCTAATGCTATCAGAAGGGTCTCTAAAGGCTCCTGGATAATTAAATTGCTCCTTTAATGTACCAGAGAAGGCTTTTGGTTAAGCTTCCAATTAGCAAAATCTTGTTCTTATTGATAGAAGACAAGCCTAGATACTACTGTAGTGATACTATATGAAGTACTTTAATAAATACATCCCATGTATTTTTACCTTGGAGTAAGCCCCTCACACACAAATGGATTGTACGGTGTGACTGTGATCATAATTCATATTTCGTGCTGGTTTCATGTTATTGGCCTTCAAAGCAGGATTTTAAACCTTTGTAAAATTATTTTCTGATGACTGAAACTAACAGGCTCATAATAAAACCACATCATTTTCTAAGGGCACATTCAACGGTGCTTTCCCATACAAATTCAGCTGATTTTCTCTGAGAAGACTAACTGAAATGAGAGTGCTCAGTGTAGTTAGAAAATATGTGTCCGACTAGGGAGAAATTCCTTACTGAGCCATGAAACCTACCTCACAGGGTTCCTGTGAGGATGAATAGAGGGAAGAACTATGCACCCCCTTGAAGGAGGTCCTTGAAGGAAAGGAGGAGTTCAAATGTAACAACAACAACAACAATAAAAGTTGTGATGATGTCTGCTAAGAAACTATGCTTTGTATGGGCTACAACAACAACAACAAAAGTTGTGATGACGTCTGCTAAGAAACTATGCTTTGTATGGGGCTTCTCTAATGGTGTAGATCACTTCCCTGATCTTTCCTTGCACCCTTTGAGAAACCACACATATGAACTGCATAGTCTTTTGCTAGTCTTATATCAATCCTGATCAGCTCTATAGTACTAATGGAGACCAGAACAGCTTGAAATAGCTAATGTGTTTGGACTCTGGGGATCAGGAATGCTGAGTCCCTAGAAACTTGACCTAGAAACACTGGGATATGCATGTCAAGTACCAAAAAATTTCTCCTTCGTACAGCAAATACCACCGCTAGAAATAATCTTATACAGTGACTTTCCCATGCCACTGCAGTCGTATCAAATTCCAAACAAGTCCAAAAATAAGAACAAAAAACCACATGATAACACAGAGTGTAGCAGATTATGTGTTTTCCTCACCTGGCTTAGAGAGCTTCCATCCACCCACCCTTGGGGGTGTCTGGCGCTGACACAATACACTACTTCTGATGTAGGCATGATAAACAATGTACAACAGAGGGAGCGTGGAGGAGATACACTACAGAGGTTGTTTCAAGTGGCACCTGTTTGATAAAGGGCCAAAGGCCACCCAGGTCTCACTCCCACATAGTGAAAAGTGTCTTGGCCTTTGTGTTGTTCCTTCAAATCAGTGTGGAGACTTTTGTCAGGTTTTTTTTTAAATCTGAAGTTGTTGTTATAGCTAATGGCCCATGAGACTGAGTTCACTGACCTTTCAGCCATTTGTCTGCCGCAGCAAGCAATGCATCTCTCTGTTTTCTGTACAGTGTTGCCACTCTGGAAGTAAACAATCAATGTATACATTCTTAGAAAATAAAAGTGGGGGTTGTGAGTCAGTCTTAGCACTTCCATTACATTTTACCCTGCAAGTCAACATTAATATTACAGGAAAGCATTACAGACAGAACTCTTTATTTGTACCTTAGATGGCTATTATGGGCATGTCAGATGAAAGCCAGTAACACTTTACTGGGAAAGCAGTGGTTAAATCTGTTGCTTCTCCAGTCCATTTCATTTCTCAGACAAAATGCGTTTACACCAATGGGATCAGAAGATGGGGAATGCAACTGATATTCGTGCTACAATTGTATGACTTTTTCTAACGAATGTGCTTTGTTCAGTATGCATTTTGATATTTATCAAAAAGTGGGGTTTTCCTTTTCCTTTAGTAAGGTGAAGATTCCCTTGCTCAAAAGCCAGTCGAATCCGACTCTAGGGTTGCGGTGCTCATCTCCGTTTCAAAGCCGAAGAGCCAGCGCTGTCCGAAGATGTTTCCGTGGTCATGTGGCCAGCATGACTAAACACCAAGGTGCACGGAACACTGTTACCTTCCCACTGAAGTGGTACCTATTCATCTACTTGCAATTTCTTGCTTACGAACGGCTAGGTTGGCAGGAGCTAGAACTAGAGACGGGAGCTCACTCCATCATGCGCCACACTCGGGTCTCGAACTGCTGAACTACCGACCTTCCACAGCCTGCAGTTCAGCGTCTTAACCACTTGAGCCACCACTTTTCCTTTGCATATACATTATTTTTCAATTTGTTCAAAACAGGGTTGGAGAATACACAGTCCATCTAAAGGTAAAGTTAAGCACTATCCATAATTTATAGTTAAGCTCACTTGAGTAAAATGCAGTCAGTAGGCTTTAAAGTGATTGATTCTCTTTTGGATTGTGGTCCCTAAAATCTACTGATAATGTGTTTAACAATGCCATCCTAATCACAGTTACAACCTTCTAAATTAGCTGAAGTCAACTTAACTTAGAAATATGGATGGGCATGAACCAGCTCACAAACTAAAGTTTGTGATGAATTTTGGCCAGTTCCTGCTTCGCAAAGTCAAATTCATGACAAGTTAACCAGCACAAACTTTCCATGAACTTTGAAGCTGTTCCTGGAGGTTTGTTGTGGTTTCTTAAAAGACAGCAGTTGTGGTCCAGTGGTTAGAGTGTCAGACTAGGAGACCCTGCTCTGAATCCTCATTGTGCCATAGAGACTTGCTGGGTGACCTTTGACCAGACTGTCCATTTCTCTACTCACTAAAGATGTTTACCAAACTTCAAAACAAGGGATGTGTGTGGACGTTTCCCTGTGAGTTTGGTGTCACTGGCTTGTTCCTGAGCTGTTCCATGGACTCCTGTAACTGCAGCAATGGAAGCAAAAGAGGTCTAATGTCAAACCATAGAATCCCTGCAGTGCAAACTGGAGGGGGGGATGACATTTTTTCAAGATTTTTCAAAATGCTGGGAAAGATTGAAGGTCAAAGAAGACGGGGACGGCAAAGGATGAGATGGTTAGACAGTGTCATAGATGCAACTAATATGAAATTGAGCAAACTTCAGAGGACGGCGGAAGACAGAAGGGCCTGGCGTGATCTTGTCCATGGGGTCGTGAAGAGTCGGACTCGACTGTGCGACTGAACAACAACAACAACAACCAGTTTAGTGCACAGAATGCTAAGCAGAATCCAGTGGCTATGCAAGCTTAAAAGGATTGATCAATCTCAATCCACATTGTCACAAGAATTCCAAGTGGGAGGTGATTTTGCAAGCCCAGTACAAGCCCAGTACAAAATCCCTAGCAGAATCTAGTACCACTGTGGCAATGCAAGCTTAGAAGGACTACTCAAAGCACATTGTCACAAGAAATCCCAGCCTGGGGGGAGGGTTGCAAGTCCATCACAATCTGTTTAGTGTACAGAATGCCCAGCAGAATAGTACCATTGTGGCAATGCAAACTTAAAAGGACTGATTGATCTCAAAGCACAGTGTCACAAGAAATCCAAGGCGGCAGGGGGGAGGGATTTTGCAAGCTCTGTAGGAGAAAATGGAAACACAAAGGAATACTGGCAAAGGGGGTGGGGAAATCTCTTGAAATTGACATGATTCATTTGAAACTGACAAGTGGAGAAACCCAGAGTTTGGGGGGGGGGGAAGAACCTGCGCCTGTCATTTCCCTAGAAATCACTTTCCTGGGGACACTTCTTTGGGGGCCATAACTCGAATCCTGTAAATCCAACTCTCACCAAACCTGGAGGGCAGGTAGAGGAGAGTCAGCCAGGGATCCCCTGTGAGTTTGGTGTCCCTAGCACACCGGTGTGTGTGTGTGTGTTCTACTGGGTCACAAACCTCACAAAACCAAACCAGTTCATTTGATGTCTGATAGTTCATGATGGACTGTGGTTTATGAACCAGGCATGTCACAAATCACGGACTGAACCAAACCACATTTTCCCATTTTTTGTGTGCCCATCCATACTTAGATAGGTGTAACTCTGTCTAAGATGGCGCTGTAACTTTCTCCACTTGAAAAATAAGGAATGTAAAAGTTTCTTAAAAGAGAACAGTTGTGGCGCAGTGGTTAGAGTGTCAGACTAGTATCTGTGAGACCCTGCTCTGAATCGTCATTGTGCCATAGAGTCTTGCTGGGTGGCCTTTGACCAGTCACACACTCTCAGCCTAACCTACTTCATCCGGTTTTGTGAGGACAAACTGGAGGAGAGGAGAATAATGCAAACCTCTATGGGTCCCTATTGGGGAGAAAAGCAGATTACAAATTATTAAAATACGGTAAATAAAAATGCCCAACTTTGGCTGGATTGTATCACAATAATTAAAATCAAGAATGAGTGACATGAACCTTGTAACTAATTTGTGATAATCCAAAGGCTGGGAAGAAAAGATAGCTATGTTTCCCATTCATAGTTTTTTGTGAATGTAAATACATAGTGGTTATTACAAAATGGTTTCTTCAGTGCCCTCTCATAATATACATTTTGATGCTTTGAAGTTGGGATTAGGGTTGCCAAATTGAAATTTCTGTTTACTGGGGGACTCCCGCGCTGCGGTTGGAGTTTTCCCTCGGATAGACAGTGGCCCCGCCCCCAGTTTCCCCCATAGAGTTTTCCCTCGGATGACAGTGGCCCCACCCCCAGCGTGCCCGGCGTCGTCACATCACATCCGGGTGACGCGCATGTTGGGGTGGGGTTCCCCCCTGGAGCCCGAACTGCCGCCGGCGGGAAACGGGCCTTTGGGGCGGAGGTTTCACCGCCCCCCGGGGGGACTTGGGAAGCCTAGTTGGGATAAAGGTGAAAAGTTGAACAATGTTGTAAATGACCAAAAGCAGAGCTTCTAAGTGACAAAAGCAAATCAACTTAATGTACACTGAAGTTAGCAATAGTAATCTCTTGCCTAAATCAAATCAGTTTACAGACTGGATCTTGCCCAGAAGCCCTAGCTGGTCCATCCCTGGCTCAAGGGGAAAAAATGCTAATCTTTTTCAACATAAAGTAAAACAAAGGTCATAAAGAAGCCACTGAAAATGTTTCTGTTTAAAAGCCTTCATGCTGGGACTTTGTAAAAGGGGTCCTTTTTGTTTGTTTGTTTTGCTTTTTGCTGGAAGCAATTTCCTAATGTTAAAAATGAATAGCACTTCACAAGAACAAACTCCATAATATGCATATAGAGCAGAATGGATTTGTGGATTTGTGTTGCAGTCAAAACCAGAACATATTATGTTAATTGTATATAGCAGAAGAACATATATTCCTAAATCTCATTATCTTTGAAGGTAATCATTACCTCTGAAGGCATAATTTTTTTCATCCGGTTCTTTTAATGAAAATGACAGGCCTGAGAGCATGGATATAGGCACAAGATACAGGCCACAGCTATCACATGAGCAGACACTGCATCACTATGAATCTTACGTTTCCATAATATGCATGAGCAGCAGTGTTGATTTTGTCTAAATGGCCTGAGGCCATTAGAAACTGCATCACCAAGATGCCATCTGAAAACACACAGTGCACAAATAGTCATCTGATTGACTCTAACCAAAGTTGTTTGTAGACAATGGAATTCAAATTCAAAGTCCAGTTCTATATTTGGCTGCACATAACTTTAGGCTGCCCATCTCCTATGTGACATCACATAAACCAGGGTAATATGAAGCCTCTTACCCAGCCAAACTGTGATATCAGAGTAATTCAACCAGTGCCATCCACAGAGGACATTAGAGGTCATGTTGGAGGCAACAGAAATAAGCATTTCAAGAAGAAATTAGAGACAGCAGAAGCAGTGAGGAGGTTCCAGACACAAGTAAAAACACTTTCGATTATTTGGCATTGTGAGATATGGTACATGTGGTCAGCAGGGTACTTACCCAGGGTTTTTTGTTTGTTTGTTTGGCCCCACTGCTGGACCTCCCGATGGCAAGCCCGCGCGGCTGAAAAAAGGCGGGAAAGAAGCGTATCGGAACCGGGAGAGGGAACGGGAGCCTCCTCGGAAGCGGTTGACAGGTAAAACGCTTCCCTCCCGGTTCCTAATCGGAAGAGAGGCTTCCCTGTGTGAAATGCCACTTCATCCCGGTAGGGAACCGATTCTCAACCGGGTTCTGTCTGAAATGACAGACCAGCACCCAGTTGAGAATCGGTTCCCTACCGGGAGAAAGCACCTGTCTGAAATTCCCCAATGTTTCTTTTTTTTTAAATATCCCTGTGCCTTTATATATTTTAAAATGTTTATGCATCTTGTAATGCATCTTGTTTTCACGTGTGACATGTTATGTTGTTTTAATTTCCCATAAACCCCCTCAATCACTTTTAACACAGAAAGGATAGAAATGATTAATTTTTAAAAAATGTATTTATTTACTGTATTTGTAGCCTATCTTTCTTTCTCAGACTCAAGGTGGATCACATGATATAACCAATGTAATCAGACAACGTAAGACATCCAATAAACAATGCATTAGGACTTGAATAAAGAAACGCTGACCTTTCAGGCTTGGCCAGTGCACATCTATCATTTATACAAATCCCTTACCTATCTGCATGGTCCAGGAAGCCCCTGTGTCCCCATTTCTTTAGGAGCTGTAATAGGAGGACCTGCAAGAGATAGTATGAAACATCTAAATCAATACCAAAAATAAACCTGTAGAACTTGTTCTGTAAGATATGGGACTTCAATGAGAGTTCCACTTGTGTAAATAAACTTTGCCACTCACTGATTTAAATGGTATATTATTATTACCATTGTACTCATATATAACTTATGGTTAAATTCCATGAGAAAAAATATGGTCAAAATGCAGAGTGTGCAATATTAATGGTAACTTTAATGTTCATTTGGCTGGGTGAGCTCACTTACCCCCCCCGCATCATGTATATCAATATTCTCACGTAGATCTACATGTCACTGCCACTGAAAATGATATCCCTGTGTCAAACTCTCCCTTCCCCTCCATGACATGTAGTAACAATTACCCCATGTTCTGTGTACATTCTGTTTCTTTGACCACATTATTGGCTGCCTCCAGTTGGACAGCAACATGCAGAATATTACAGTATCACAACACTGGGTAAGTATTACACATGTTATGGAGTGAGAGGGGAAGAACTGGTTACAGGGATGCTGTTTTCAGGGGCAGACCTACACCTCTTGAAATCTGCAGCACAACATTCTTAAATCCTACAACCTTTTTATTTTGAAGAAATCCAATTTATTACAATGGTCCACGTAAACAAGCTTAGATTTGCAGCCCAATTCTATCTATATTCAGAAATAACTTCCACTGAGACAGAATGTATCCCTAAATAAACATGCACAGTCAGGAATGCAACCTTAGTTTTGAAAAGCGATCACCTATGTGACTAAAGTTTACCTGTGTAAAAGTGCTTGTCTGCATTGTTGAGACCTGGGCGTGCAGAATGATCTTGTCAATAAGTGGTGCAGGTCCTGTTACAAAGCCTATTCTGAACCTAAAGGGAGTACAAGATTTAGCTCAAATTACAGAGGCTAGTAATGGATGTTACATAAATCATTACTACTTTGAATTCTGACAAATAGTGTTTTTCAGAATTATATGACATCTCATATGTTTGAACTGTTATTTCTTGCAGTTTTCATGTATGTATCGTGTTTAGTTTAGTTTTTATTACAGTCCTTAGACCAGATATACTTACAGATATATATAGAAGTTACAGATAATACATTCAATTAAATTAAAAGCTAATATATATATTTTAAAATAAAAGAGAAAATGCTTCCAAATAAAACGCATTTGAAACTAGTATATAAGTTACACTTGCATCTAACTGTTAAGCAATATCCGTGACCTGAGTATCACTTTGCAAAACCTGGCTACATGATGAGTGATCTTGGGATGTTTGTAATTTAAAAGAAATTCAAGTTTAGTTTTTTCTGACAGACCCGAGTTTTTTTTCCTATCAATGGGGTAATAATATCTCTAAATGCCACCTCATAGGGTGCGTTCAGACGGGGGCTTTACATCGGTTAGGGTGCCGGTTCCAACCGTTGTACACACCAGCGTTCAGACGGGGCACATCTGCCTCCTGTCCCTAACTGGTGTAAAGCCCTTTACACCGTTGCACTCTGCCACTAGGTCCCAAGTGGTGGTATCCTGAG